TTCTAGTAGAAATGTTGTGTCACTCACCGACCAGTTTTACTTCCCTGACATGCTAATATTATTAGCGTTAGCCAGGCGGAAATGGCAAAGTCGCACATGCGCAGTCAGGTCAGTTTTTCACCATCAGATAAAAACGAACAGATCAAGCATTTACATGCGCACCGATCGGGTTTCGGATCGGCGTAAACCACCCGTTTCGTTCTGATCAGATATTATAACGGATCGCGCCGAATACACAAAAAATAACCCGAACGGAGTGTTTACATGACACACTTTTATTCCGACCGGCCATTTGATCTGGTTACTTATGTCCATGTAAACATACCCACTGTCATATTTCTTCTTGGCTAACCTCTTTTTTTGAACGGTGTCCTGCACTTCACTATTCCACCACCAGGTTTCCTTATCATCCATTCTCTGTCCACAAGACACACCAAGTACCTTCCTACCTGTCTCTCTAATTACTGTTGCTGTAGTAGTCCATTCATTTGGAAGCTCTTTCTTACTACCCAGAGCCTTTAACAGCTCCTCTCTGAATTTATCACAACATTCTTCCTTCTTCAGCTTCCACCATTTGGTCTTCTTCTCTGTTTATACTCTTTTTCTCTTCTTCACAACTACAGTCATTTTATACACAACCATCTGATGCTGTCTGGCCACGCTCTCCACTGCCACAACCTTACAGTCTCCAATCTCCCTCAGGTTTCCTCTTCTCCACAGAATGTAGTCTACCTGCGTACTCCTTCCTCCACTCTTATAGGTCACTCTATGTTCCTCCCTCTTTTGGAAATGGGTATTGACTATAGCCATTTCCATTCTCATGACAAAATCCACTACCATCTGTCCTTCCTGGTTTCTTTCCTTGACACCAAACCTACCCATCACTTCCTCATCCCCTCTGTTTCTTTCACCAACATGTCCATTCAGTTCTGCTCCGATCACCACACTTTCCTCCCTGGGAATATTCTCTATCACTTCATTCAGATCTTTCCAAAAGGTATCATTCTCCTCCCCATCACATCCAACCTGTGGAGCATAAACACCAACAATATTTAGCATCAGACCTTCTACTTCTACCTTCAGACACATCACACTATCTGACACTCTCTTCACCTCTACTAGATTTTTTGCCAACTCTGCCTTTAGGACCACCCCTACTCCACTTCTCTTTCTATCCACACCATAGTAAAATAAAACAGTTTAAACCCTGCTCCAGTGCTGCAAGCCTTGCTGCCCTTCCACTTGGTCTCTTGGACACATAAAACATCTACCTTCCTTCTCTGCATCATGTCAGCCAGCTCTATACCTTTGCTTGTCATTGTCCCCACAATTAGAGTTGCAACCCTCAGTCCTACATTCTTGACTTTCCTCTTCTCCCTCTGTCTCCTGACACGTTTCCCTCATCGTGGTCTTTGACTTAAAAAATGGCCTAATGTTAAAACCAAAACATAAAAGTCAGGTTTTAAATGGGTTTTGAATTTGTCCTGTGTTGGTGGTATCATGCCACTTTAATTGGTGATATGTGACTTATCTGTGCTGCTGATTATCCATGCTGCTGGTTATTTCATGCTGCTGTATTCATTCATACCCATCTGCTCACCACAGACTCATGTTCGGGCTGCTGTTGTTACACCATATTTTGCATTATTAGTCTTTAGCGTATATCTTAGATGTTTTAGCATACCGTTTAGCATTCGTTTAGCGTATATCTTAGGGTATATCTTCGATCCTTATATACTGCTTCTTTTCACACGTCATATTTTTGTTTTTGTTGGTGTCACTGGGACCCTGTGTGCACAGTTTCGGTCCACCTCATGTACCACATGTGGTGAGAACGACAGTAAACCTAACGGTACTTGAACTTGAGTCATGATGTGAAAAAGCGGGGTTGTTCCAAAGTTCAGGTGCACCAAAAGTCCGATCTCTGCACTGCAGTCTGTTTCACGGTACGTTCACCTCACCTGACCTTAATGACATTTGTTAAATCAAAAGGCTGGATAAATAAGAAGGTGCTAACCCATTTAAAAACTTAGAATCAAACACAAGATATTAAAATGAATTCTAAATTGAACTGCTAGACGGTGTAATATTCTCAGACAGGTTGTCCTTGTTAGGAGTAGTAGTCTACTGATTGATATCAAAATTAAAGATTACAATATTCAAGCCTAGATAAAATGAAGGTGAATCTACCTTTTTAAAATCAGCAAATAAAAGAAAGAGCTTTATCATAGCAAGGGAGGTGCAGTAGCTCAGCGGTCACTGTTCCAACCAGCAGGAGGGAGCAGCCACGGGAAGTAGAGCTTAACCTTAGCAAAAACTTTGTAATAAATTAGTTTTGACCATAGTACTTATTTGTTTGTCAAATAAACAGTGTTGCAATTCAGGCTTCACCATAAATGCTTCTTGTTTCTGATCTGCGCAGTCAAGGAATGAGGGTGTCGGATTTGATAACCTCAAGATCTTTATTTAATTTATATATTCATTCATTTATTTTGTGAATGATGTGGTTTTGTTGATGCCTTCAAGTGTTGACCTTCACTGTGCACTGTAGCTGAGCGTGGTCAAGATGAGAGTCTGCTCCTGAAAGTTTGAGACCATGGTTCTCAACCTAAAAAGGATAAAATGCTCCCTCTGGGTTGTGGATGACCCTTTGCCTCAAGCTTAGTAATTAAAAAACTGCAAGTCCTGTTTAGAAGTGATGAAAGAACGGAGCGGGGGATTAGTCGACGGAGGGTATTACTCCAGGCTGTCATAGTGAAAAAGGAGATTTGCCCTATGGCTCAGCTCTCAATTTACTGGTTTGTCCACAGTCCAACTCTCACCTATGGACACAAAATTTCAAACAGGACAGAAAAAACAAGCTCTAAGATACGAGCAGCTGAAATAAGCTTCCTCATTGTCACAATATGGTTGTCTTGAAACCCAGAATGCAAGCAGGATTCAGGGAAACTCAGGTAGAAAACAAAATGGTTTATTAACTAAAAGGAGAAAAGAAAGATGCTGACGAGGCAGCCAACCTTACTTACAAAAACCTGGAATAAGTACTGGAGTCAAGGACTAGACGTAGGAGGGATTGAGTCGGTGTAAACATTACACTTAATGCTTCTCTGCCTGAGACACAGGAGACGCAAACATTTAAAGGATGACACTAATTATCGGAAATACCCAACACCTGGTGAGGAGACAAACTGGAAACAGGTGAGTGGGGCAGGAGCAGCATTACAAGGGAAAAACAAACACAAGAAAAGTAAAAAACAAAACACTAATATAGACACAGATTCTCACACTCATGAGGGTGGACAGGCTCAGTCTTGGAGATTGGGTGAGGTGCTCATCGCCATTAAAAGGAGTTAGTCAAGGTGGTTTGGGTTTCTGATTAGGAGACCTCCTAGTGCTCCTCTAGAGGTTTTCCAGGCTTGTCCCACTCAATAGAAAGGGAAAACCCTGAACTATCTGCAGGGATTTTATGTCCTCTCTGACCTGGGAAAGCTGTGGGATCTTCCAAAAGAAGCTGGAGAATGCCGCAGGGGAGAGGGCCATTGAGGTTTTCCTTGAGGACCTATCTGTTCTGTGACCCAACTACAGATGAGTCGATGAAAATCGGTAGACCAAAACAGGGTGTCATCAAAATTAGCTTCTAAGTTTTATTGTGCAATAGATGTTTTGTAAAACTCCAACAGACTTGTTACTGTGGTACTAGTGAGGCTCAGGAGGTCCAAGCACTTTCATTACTTGTACGTTGACATTAAAAACTCAAGTGTCATCCATGGTTTAATGCTGACAGTCCAACAAAGCCTTGAAAAGTGGTCAAGACTTTTGTTTTTGTTTTTTAAAGGAAGACGTATTGGTGGATCATCAGCATAGCAGTAGAATGAAATTTCATATTTTTGAAGGTAGAATCAAATGTGAGCATCCATCCATCCATCCATCCATTGTCCTGCTTATATACCCGCTTCTTCCTTTTACGGTCATGGGGTCACTGCTTCCCTTATCCAGCAGTCACTGTGAAAAAGGCAGGGGACACCCAGGACGGGTCTCCAGTCCATCACAGGGGCACATAAAGATAAACGAGACAAACAACCATTCACTCTCCCACTCACACCTAGAGACAATTTAGAGTTACCAATCAGTCTAACATGCATGTTTTTGGTCTGTGGGAAGAAACCGGAGTACTTGGAGAAAACCCACGCATGCACGGAGAGAACATGCAAACTCCACCCCGAAAAGTCCAGGGCTGAAATTTGAACCGGCGACCTTCTTGCTGAGAGGTAACAGCTCTACCAACTGAGCTACCGTGCCACCCAAATGGGAGCATATTAAAGAAAAAACTTGTGGACTTACAATGGATCCTTGAGGAATGCCAGGAGAAGAACTGTGTAAGATGGCAAAATGGATAGATTGGTGGACAAAAACTATATTCCACTACTTGGTTAAAATCAGTTCATGATGAGGTTTTGTTTTGGTGGCAGTGGTCATGATTGTGTAGAAAATTAATGAATCATTAACTGATGAAAACTCCTGGATAACACTCTTGTGCATATCTTAACCTTCTTTCCACAGACTAATACTTCAGCTTGCACAGAAGACAGACGGAGTGATTGTAACTAATGACAACCTGAGAGATCTATCAGATGAGTCTCTTGCATGGAGGGACATCATCAAAAAAAGGTAAAAAATTATGGTTATTTATTACTGCAAGGATGTTTAGGTCACTGTCATTTGTAAATCACTTTAAATTACTAATTTATTCATCCATCCATACATCCATCCATTATCTTTTACCCGCTTCCATTTTGGGTCATGGTGGTCGCTGGTGCCCATGTCCAGCAATCACTGTGCGAGGGGTGGGGTACTCCCTGTACATGTCTCCAATCCATCACGGGCACATAGAGACAAATGAGACAAACAATCATTCACTCTCACTCACACCTAGGGACAATTTAGAGTTACTAATTATGAATTTTGAGCAGAAATTTCATGTTCCTGTGTGATCCTTGTAGACTTCTTCAGTACACATTTGTTGGAGACCTCTTCATGATCCCAGATGATCCTCTGGGCAGAGGAGGGCCACACCTAGATGAATTTCTGCATTCTGGGCACAGGTAACATAGTCACTTGGTGTAAAAATCTAGGGATGCACGATATTGGATTTTTGGCCGATATGTTAAAACTTATTTGGCCGATAACCGATGCCGATATTTTTATATACTTTCCTTTGTCAGATCATAGCCCTCTTATTTAGGCTTATTTGATACAAAAATTGTGCAACAGCTTTAAGAGCTGGTGACATATTCAGTAACAGCCATATGATATGTATAGCAGTTTGACTTATGTTAAATGAAAAATGTTAAATGTTATTTATTAGCATTAGTCAGCTGTGATGCTGTCTCACTTTTGGAGGTTTGTTCCAGGTTCCTAGCTGCAGTGTGGGATCCTCTGCACTCTTGTGCATGAAGGACAGACTTTTAAATTCAAAAGTTTTTGTCTATCCATTGTGCTGTAAGACTAATCATGCTAACGGGGCTAACACTTGACGTCCAAGTGTCTGTGGTAAAACTCACCCAACAAGTCGTGCTATTGGCTGTTAGTTTCTCAATGACATCAGAAATGACGGCTTGTAACTCTGGTAATGTTACGTCGGAAAAATATCTCCGACTGGGGACGATGTAGTGAGGCTCAACGTAGTCTATAAATCTTCGGAATCCAATGTCCTCAATGGAAAAAAAAACCTTCCACACCGCCAACATTTTGAGTTTTCCTCTCTGCTGTGAGATCAGTTAGGCGCACGTGACGTCATCGCGTTGCGCTGCCGCTGCAGGCAAAATAGCGCCTCTTATTTCAGCGAGTTATTTTAATAGAATGACCGATGTCCGATATTGAACTTTAACGTTAATATCGTTCGATGCCATGCTGATAATTTCGTGCATCCCTATAAAAATCTTGTGTTATTAATTACCCAGATTTAAATTTGATGTTCCATGTTTTCGGATTGAAATCCTTTGTTTTCTGTCAGGACTCCTTATCCCGGAAATCACTCATTTGCGGGTTTAGCTGCCCCTTTTTTTCCCATCAAGCCACCACGCTCCAAAACAGAAGTCTTGAACTTTCATGACCGAACACCAAGGGGTGCTCTAGCTGCATCATATGGAGGTGGTCAAGACAGGGGCAAGGTACATGGAAAAGGGTGGAATGGTGGAGTCCAGCACAGGCATCAAGGAGGCATCAGTGGAGAGACGACAGTCAATATGGACAGGACCACTGAAGAAACAGCTGGCCTTAGAGAACAGCTACTGTGTGTTTTCCCAGGTCAGGACAACATGGTGACGCTTGTCCTTCAGTGCCACCAAGCAGAGAGAAACATAAATGTGCTGTCCGATCTAATGTTAGAGCAGCAAAATGACTAGACCTTTAGATTCTTCCTGTTTTAAGTTAAGGTTTTTCAATTGGATCTTTAATAGTTAAGCTTTTGTTTCGTAGCAAAGCAATTACAACTATTCAACACTGATCGGGATGGATATTTAACAAAAACTAATGCTGGTTAAATGTTTACATATCAGTTGTGAAATCAACACCCAAGACCACTCCTATTTTCTTTATTAGGAGCCTTTTTTTTTTTTTTACTTAAAACAATGCTTTGGATTTTTTAAAATGGGATTTTGTAAAAAGAGACTATTTAATCTGTTGCAGGTAGATTTTTGAATGACCTCAGTTTGAAGAAATTGAGTTCGATCTGACCTGAATGATGAGCTAATGGCTAGCCTGGTACCAAAATTAATTTGTACCATTAGAAAACGACTCCAATTTTTATTTTATTTTTTATCATTAAAGTATGCTAATGCTATAAACCTTTAGATAGCCGTCAGTTTTACGTGACATGGTTACTGTGGCAGGAATATTTAAATATTTCTAGAAGTGTCCCTGCAGCAGAACTGCTACAACTAGCTGCCTCCGTCTTCATGAAAAGTAACAGAATTGTAAGTAAATAACATGTAGAGTAAAACTGACAGTGCTGTAAAGGTTAAAGTAAAATATTTTCCTGAACTTCTTAAAATTTTATAAGCCGAGTTGTTTTAAGGTAGCAGCACTCTGCATTGGCCTTGACTCCACTAGGACTAGCCATTCGCTCATCAGTCTGTTCAAAGTTAAACTTTATTTTTTTCGAACCGAGCTTATTCAAAGAGCTATCTGCAACAGGTAAGATATTAATTGTTCATAAATTTTCATAAGAACCAGTGGCAGTGTGAATACTGCACTGTAAACTTGTATCTCCTCCAGCCATTCACGCTGCAACAACTGACAGCTGAATCCTCTCACGAGGACAACTTCATGAAACACTATACTGTTAACTGCATTTAACTCGCTAACGCTAACCATTTCAGTTTGAGTCTCTGACACCAGGAGAGTGAGGGACTAGTCAAGTTTTAACAATTAACGTTTTTTTAATCTCCTTTTTTTTAAAAATACATATTTACAATATAAATTAGGGTTTTAAAGAAAGACTAACCATTAGTGAACTTCTTGCCATTCTCACTAGAAACCAAAAAGATGAGGATTACAAAAAGGAGAAAAGAGCACACACTTGTTTTTATTGTATTTGCAGAAAATAGCAGTCTTTACTTACTGTCATCCTTTTGATGTGCAGTTAAATGGTTATTTAACAGGATTTCATATATATTTCACAGCAGACGTGTTGACTTAAGAGTAAAAGCTTTGACGTATTATTGAGAGTTGCATTTTATTTAAAGAAAGTTCTGCTTCTAAAGACTTTTACAGGACAACAAACATGCACATCTGTAGAAGTGGAATGCAGCTGTTGTGAAAGGGATAATCGGGTCAACTTTCAAATGATGTTCTGTTAAATAGTTATCGATAGTTAGGAGCTTACAAGCCATGCCATTTGTCTTAGAGCACAGAGTATGACAAAAGTTTTCCTCCTAGCTAGGCTAACGGCTAGCCAAAAACAGGCCTGATTTTAAAATTGTTTTTCTGTTTTATTACACAAATCTTTCTCAGAAATGACATTCCGGTGTGAAGTAATGCTACATTAGTTAAAATTAAAGTTACAATTTTTTGTGACATTGTTTCGTTGGTTGTTGTTTCCTCAACAGAACAATGTCTGTTTCAGTGGTTCGACGCTCCGTACGCATAGATTCACATGGTAACATGCTCTGACAAGAAAATTGCAACGATTAACTAGCAGTAATATTAAACCTCTACATTGTTGCATGTTCTTTCACACTATGCTCTATGACTGATGTCACAGCTGTTAAGGTACTAACTATTGATAAGTATCAGACAGAACATAATTTTAAAAATGACCTACTATCACTTTATATACACACACCCTTTCCTTGGCTCATTCAATTCAAAATGTCTGCTGTGAAATAGGTCAGTGGTTCTGTTGTTAACACTGGTTCTGATTGGAGTGGTTTAGCAATTGTTTGATAAAGTATTGTTCAGACATGCGCAATTTACGACGGAGTGTTAGGGCCACGCTAAGAAAAATAATTAAATTACTAGAAAAAAGTCATGAAATTACGAGAATAAAATCATAGTATTATGAGAATAAAGTCGTACAAGAATAAAGTTGAAATATTATGAGAATGAAGTCATAATATTACCAGAATAAATTCGTAATATTATCAGAACTCCGACACAAAAAGCAGTCTTACAACTGCAGTAAAATGAAGAATGTTGAGCATCTTGTTACGTTATACTTTGGTATTGGTTTTACAAATAAGGAGATAGTTAATCTGTTAGTACATCAGCATCAGATTATTATCAGTATCAGGACTTTGAAACGATTGTGCAAACGACTATGTCTTGTTTCAAAGAAAGAACCACACGGATTTGGAAGATGTTGCTTCTTTTGTGGAAGAGGATCTTTCTGTTAGTGGTCGACAGTAAGGCTGTAGGACGGTGGTTACATCTGCGTGCCATCAAGAGGTTTTGTTGTTTCTCAGCAGACAATGAGGATGGTCATCAAGATTTTGGATCCAGTGGGAGATGAACTTCGGCGAGCACGGAGTTTCCATTGTCGGCAGTACAATAGCAGGGGGCCCAACGCACTGTGGCATACTACAACTTTATTCTCGAAATATTACAACTTTATTCTATTATTACAAATTTGTTCTTGTAATATTATGACTTTATTCTCGTAATACTATGACTATTCTCATACAACTTTATTCTGATATTATTACAAATTTAATCTTATAATATTACAACTTTATTCTCGTAATATTATGACTTTATTCTCATAATACTATGACTATTTTCATACAACTATTCTGATATTATTACGAATTTATTCTTGTAATATTACAACTTTATTCTCGTAATATTACGACTTTATTCTCGTAATATGACTATTCTCGTAATACTATTACTTTATTCTCATACGACTTTATTCTGATATTACGAATTTATTCTCAAAACATTACGATTCTGATATTATTACGAATTCTTGGAATATCACAACTTTATTCTTTTAATTTTTTTACTTTTTTCCATACGACTTTATTCTCTTAATACTATGACTTTATTCTCATAATATGACTATTCTCGTAATACTATGACTTTATTCTGATATTATTACGAATTTATTCTTGTAATATTACAACTATTCTCGTAATATTACAACTTTATTCTCGTGATATTACAACTTTATTCTCGTAATATGACTTTTCTCATAATACTGTGACTTTATTTTCATATGACTTTATTCTGATATTACGAATTTATTCTCAAAACATTACGACTTTATTCTGATATTATTACGAATTCTTGTAATATTACAACTTTATTCTTGTAATTTTTTTACTTTTTTCTTTACGACATTATTCTCTTAATACTATGACTTTATTCTCATATTATGACTATTCTCGTAATACTATGACTTTTTTCTGATATTATTACGAATTCTCAAAACATTACGACTTTATTCTGATATTATTACAAATTTATTCTTGTAATATTACAACTTTATTCTCGTAATATTACAACTTTATTCTCGTAATACTACGACTTTATTCTGTTATTATTACGAATTTATTCTTGTAATATTACAACTATTCTCATAATATTAAATCTTTATTCTTGTAATAGTACAACTTTATTCTTGTAATGTTATGATTTTTTCTCATAATTTTATGACTTTTTCTCGTACAACTTTATTCTCGTAATACTATGACTTTATTCTAATATTATTACAAATTTATTCTCAAAACATTACGACTTTATTCTGATATTATTACGAATTTATTCTTGTAATATTAAAACATTATTCTCGTAATACTACGCCTTTATTCTTGTAATGTTATGACTTTTTTCTCATAATTTTGACTTTTCTCGTACAGCTTTATTCTCGTAATACTGTGACTTTATTCTCGTAATATGACTATTCTCGTAATACTATGACTTTATTCTGATATTATTACAAATTTATTCTTGTAATATTACGACTTTATTTGCGTAATTTTTTTTTAACTTTTTTCTCGTACAACTTTATTTGCGTAATTTTTTTTTACTTTTTTCTCGTACAACTTTATTCTCGTAATTTTTTTAAAAACTTTTTTGTATGACTATTCTTGTAATATTACGACTTTATGCTCATAATTTTATGATTTTTTTTTCTCAATGTAAATTTTTTTCTTAGCGTGGCCCTAGTACTCTGTCGTAACAACTCACTGAGGATCTTCTGTACATCAAAATGTCACTAACACTTTAATTTTCAGAGGACGCCAAGAGAACAAGTAGTGTTTCGGCTAGAGAGAGTGCTAAATGTTAGCATGCTAACAAATCAAACTAGCCTGTGAAAATGGTGGACAAATGATTATTAAAGGACGTAAGAATAAAAACATAATCAGTGCCCTGCAAACAGTTAAATTCAGCCTTGAGGATAAACTGGGTGCATTTATTCAGCGTTCTGCTAAAGGATTTTCAGCATTTTTTTTTAAATACTTGTGTGTTTTAGATGTTATTTTTGCTAACATAATCATGCTAGTAATATAGATTTTTTTTTTTTAAGTTGTTCCATTTAACAGCTTTCACTTAAAGACAAAATGGTAAAACTGAGCACTGAATTGTTGTGTGGGACTCCAAAAAACACTGAACCAAGACATCCATTATTCTGTCTTTATTCTGTACCTTCGTTTAATATTTTTTGTATATAGTAACCAGGTATGATGTTGTTGGGTCGAAAATCATAAATGGTGAAGGATGATGAAACTAGGCCAACTCATAAAAAATTGGATTATTTTAACTTTTTTTAATCTGTGTCACCAAATTAAAAAATAGATTTATTT